GCTCTTTCAGCATCCCCTTTTCGTCGACCAGATTTGCTGTTGATCAAAGGTTTGCTGCAAGCTTTCGGCTTTCTGAATCCTTGGGTGTTTTGGCGCGGTTTGACCGGAAGTGTCTCTGTGAGGCCGTGAGCGCTGGGTGGTGGCACCAAGAAGCAATGATTTTGGTGGCGCTCCCAAGAGGCTCGTTTTCGCGGAGGACTGCACCTTGAAGCCAGCCAGCAGTTTTCTAATCTGGCGAGTTTTATGTGGCTTGTTTGTCTGCAGTCGCTCTTCTTTCGTGTTTGTGTGGACACCCGATCCGCCAGCGATCAGCGTGGCCAACTGGATGTACGAGGGATTTCCCGGATAACTGTGGTCATGTTCATGGCTTTGGTTGTCGGGGTCCTGAGCGACGGTTGTGTCCACAAGCAGAGAGGCCGCTTTTGACGGAGTGGAGCTGGAGATTGGCTTCGCTTCTTGTCCCCGCACATCTGATCCGTCCAGTTCAGAGGCTGTGACTTTGTTGATGAGTGAACGGCTGCAGCTGTGTTCTCTGATACGGAGCTAAGCGTTGATAGCTCCACGTAGTTTGGGCGCTGCTTGCATGTGGGGTTTGCATCCTCCCGGGGGTCCCTGCCTGTGGTGGTCGAATAAAAGCTGCCATCCGGGGACACGTAAATTGATAATAGCGTGCAAACCGGTGGGGCCCAGTGACCTTGAAAGCAGCTTCGTTTAAACAAAACACATCATAAAAATGTTACTGAATGTTCAACGGGAATAAACTTGGTTCCATTAGAATCATAGGCTTCAAAAACCCCACTGTTTCGTTCAGTGGTCGGCCATCACTTCGGCTGGTAACTAGATCTCGAGAACTTTGCTCTTTTGGAGTTCGTCAATTCATATTTCAAAAGGTACGCGTCTAGTGCGTCTAGTGCGTTTTCTGCAAATTCTCTGTATCTATGACTTGCTCAAGTAAGCAAATCATCCTGGTCAATAATGTCCTTTTTTATAAAAAGGAGACATTGTACGCTGACGAAAAATGTGACAGTATCACTCCTGCAACTTACTTTTCTCTTCTATCTGCTGTTCGACCAGACGGATGTTGAGTCACTGCGGAAGACGCTAATTATATTTCAATAAATCATACTAGGTTTTAAGGACGTAAGGCCTGAGGATGACGATAAGCAGTTCCCGAAGATCGAGTTTTCTGTTAAACCGTGTAGTGGTCTGGCTACCCAATAAGTTAGTTCACCAGGAGTGTGTGGCAAAGAAATAAAAATGATTACGCTAGGTTGGGTATACAAAAATAAAGAGACCAGACGGAACAGACTCACTAACAATTGTTCTCTTTAAAATAGTTCGTCGTTGGCGCAGGTCAGCGAACGAACAATAATCCAATTATGTTGGTCCAGAGGTCTTCTTCTGAACAGTTCCCACATATAATAAATTCCGAAGGTGACCGAAATGTTTTGGTACCAGAGTTAGTACATGAGACTCGCGAATGACCACTGCAAGCGCGAGCGAAATCAGAAGAGAGACTCGAAGCACGTGACCACGCCTGTATTCTGTGAAATTGTACAAGTGCGCGTTTTTGTAGTTTTTCGTATCCATTCAAAAACGATTATGCAATTGATGAAATACGTAGTGTTATAATGGAAGTAAAATAAAGGTACGAAACGCCACAATCGATTGATATTACGGTGGAAATATTCAGGTCCTGTTTATCGGCATCAGAGTTCTCCATTGCAAATGGCGATGCATAAGGGACTTACTGTAGCCGGCTACACTAAGTTTTGATATCGTTTGTGGGCGGCAGCGTACCATTTGGCCCCACTCTATCTGAGGGAGGCTCTCATCGTTTTATAGATGCAGGAACTAGAACCTTGAATACGCACACGTTTAACATCCACAGTGACAATCAACTGGTTACATGAAGCCTATATCGATCATGCGGCAGTTAAACGGACCTATCTAATGCACACCACTAATTACTCGACTGTAAAAACTCAATGGCAAAACTTAAGCGAGGTAAAAGTTGAAATTTTTTGGCATTTCAACTACTACATTGTTCACTATCACAACGGTCGGTTTGATACTGTGAGTAATCCGCTGAAAATCGGTGGTCCTTATGATTAGCATGTAGGTTGCGGAGCCCATAGCAGATAAGTTGTGTATCCCTGGACCATCATCTAGGTTCAGGCGGAGTATCCTAGAACACCGGTGGCCAACCGTAGGTCAGAGACTTCACAACGCAGCGCAGTAGGTTTTGACCCTAAGTAGTTCACCACTACATGGATTTCGCGGACTTAACCTGTTCTATTTCATGAATTTTATCCACCGCATGGTTAAGTTGTTCAAGTAAGCCATCGAACGGCGATGACGGCGACTTGGGAGCACATAGAAGAGAAGTAGCTTTCTCCGTTAACTTGTAATGAAAAACCATCCTAGATGGATGAGAAAACAAACATTAAAAAATAATGCCTCTCACTGCTTGAAGGGGAATGGCCACTGAATACCCGTGACAAATGAATGCAGGGAAGGTGCATCACCTGACGGAGAGCCAGTGCATTTACCAGCACACATGCAGTCATTCGACAGTTTGCCTTTAACACGTGGGCGCTCAGGATTCAGATTTCGTAACGGTGGTATGACCCATGCACCTCATATTCCCCATACAAATCACTCAGCAAACCGGGTCACTTCCTGTATTATACGATTGAGTGCGCCGAAGTGGCAAGCCTCCTTGTCTGGCGAAATCTGGCGTACTCCGAACGACTGCTAGTCACAGTGCCAGAATGCACTATCCCGGTTTTGCTTGCACCGTCCATCTTCCATTCGAAGAAAACCACGGAACATTAAAATATGCCTACGTTAGATTCTGCGCTTCGCCTCGTAAAATGGAAATCACATGTGAATTGGGGGTTGTTGATGACCATAAAAGTTTGCTCACTTAAACGAACTGCAGTGAGCATCAAAGCACTGAAACGTGCAAATGAATTAGACTGGCTCCCGTAAGATTAGCAATTTCCAAAACTCCATAGTTTCAGTGAAATTTATTTCGGGTTGCTGCTAGTGGTTGGCTGCCTCAATAAGTATGCTGCTCACAAGTTTAGAACTGAAAGTATTGTTAAGTAACCAGTAATCGGCATTACTTCTACTCAAGCGTTCAGCTTTCCATAGTAACTACTGTTAACGAATTCCCAGATTGCCTCAGAATGGAAAAAATACGTGTCATATGCATTTTTACCGCAAGTATGAATAGCACAGCACACAACCGAATATTTTATCCGTGCTAGGTGCTGTTAAGCCCATGCAACCGTTCTATGGCTAAACAACCGAGAGCATCCAAAATAGTCGTTTTTCAAGTATTTGAATGTTATCATTTCCCCATCAGATAGTCCACCGATAATGTCATGACTGTCTGTGGTACTTCTATGTTTCCGTTATTGACGCATGTCACGCTAAGCTGGAAATGGTATCCAGATTTTCCATTGGTTTCACATCAAGTGACATGGAGTTGTTTTTCTGTTTTCTGAGATGATGTATCCGGTAGGGCGTCTTAGATTCCTTTTACGTCCCCGAATTCTGGGAGCCCGCAGTCCAATGCAGACTGATGTTATAATGTTCACGGCAAATGCGGGAACCGATCTAAAAGGATGCTGATACCATAAAAGTGTCAAATTTCATCACACGGTAAGTAAATTAATAAAGGTGGCGACGCTAAATGACCCACCAAATTTCCCCAAACAGATATTCTGTGTTGACCGTGAATGAACGAATTTTAGGGAAATAACTTTCATTCAAAGCACGTGTGTTGATAGGTAAATAACAATTTGTACTGACAGAAAGGCTTGTAAACCACCAGGCTCATCAGGAATATACACCACTGCCTGATATTCAAATAATTTCGACTGTGGTTGCAGGGAAATGTTGAGACAACATCGAAAACCTGTCGCTTAATTTCAGCCGTTCTATGGAAGCGGCCGAAATCCATACTTTTGGAATGAAAGTGATGTGAATGTTAATGCCGGGCCTCTCCAAAGAAGGCCTTCAAGCTCGTCTTGCATGTACCAGCAAGGTGTCCTTATTCACACTTCCTTTTTTCTTTCGGCAATACAACCAAACCTGTACGTGGCTTAGTATTCAGTGGGACAGTGAAGAGTTGCAGTCACGGCTTACTAAATACCATCCATAGTCCCGACGAATACCGAAAACGGCAATATGCGTCCCCAGAAATCCCCTCAACCCCTTGAGTTGAAAATTATGTCCCTAGATAACATGCAAGGTACGAGTTTGTTACCCAGAGTACTGATATTATCTGCTACTATAATGAATAGCGTACACTGTCAAAAGAATCGTTTGTCGTGGATAATCCTAACCGGATTAAATATATTAGAAATGTTTCACTGGGCCTTCCACAGAAAGCTGGTTACTGGGATAATCTAGCTTGTCAGTAGCCACTGCTATGTCGAACCCAGCACAAGTGGGAATAAGCTAAGACTGCTTGGAAAACCTTGGTTCAAATAGTGGAATGACGTATGAGTCATCGTTTGAAGGGAGCAACCGATCTTTTAACCCCACAGGAACTAAACCAAAGATGGGATTTCAAAATTCGAATGACGGCAAAGATTAGGGCGGTTAGGAAAATACTGAAATCTGGTTCCGTAATGGTTATCCATGATTCGCGCCCTATTGTTTGGGTACATACAGATCGGACAATGCGGTACACGTGTGGCCATCTTTTACCTTTGTTGTGGTTGCTCGTAGGTACGTGAGATTAAACGATAGCTAAACACTGAACTCCGTCTACTTGATAAAAATACACATTAAAAAACCTATTAATTCAGTTGTTCGTAGAATGAAAAATCCATGAGTATGCGAGCTAACCATAAAGAAAAACAGATACAGTTCTATTCTGGTAATAGCACGGCTACATTCTCGTCATGTAGCGAAGCGCTGAAGTTTCAGTAAAATCAGACGTGACAGAACTTTCTCAGATAAACTCAACCATCAAAATTTTCTAAGATACACACCATATTATGCGCAAGAAGCCATAACAACAGACCAATTGTTCACAGGCGGTACCTATAGAAGCCGCACGAGATAAGAATGGCGTGCTTCGTCCCCACGGACTACCTTCCGCAAGATATCAAATAGCTACGTTCGGGACAAAACTACAAGCGTAACTGGCAACAGTTTATCACAACTTTTTGGATATTACCACAATAAGAACTGACCTGAAATTTACTGTCGACAAACTTCAACTAGAATAAGTGTACCAAGCATTTGCCGACGGCTGTTGCGAAAACGCTGAGAAAGTGGAGGAAAACTTAATAAGTTTCAGGTCACGCACGGTTGCAGCCAACTGGCAGAACATGCTGCTGAACTGAGCTATTTTACGATGATGGTTGAATTTAACATGCAAACACAATAACTATATCGGACTTGAATGACCAGAAGTTAGCGTGAGAGATCACCATATAGTGGAGCTCCGGGGAACATGTATTCCCAGAAGATAAACAACCATGACAGCTGTCGTTTCACTTACACATTTTGTGATGGTGGACGTTCGATCCTTACAATAGCCGCTAAGCATTTTTACTAGCAATAGGTATCCGGTGGTGTTGGCAGGAACTTCACCAATCATATTGTGGAACGCAGTCATTTCCACAGAACAGGCTTATACCAAAGCTCTAGCGAATGCCTTTGTTATGCATGGTGAAATGGAACGCAGTTCCACAGAACAGGCTTATACCAAAGCCCTAGCGAATGCCTTTGTTATGCATGGTGAAAAGGGACCAGAAAACATCATGAATGAGG